AAATTTTAACACTCTATCCCTATTACTTGTATATCTCTTTTAATCAATTAATTCTCTTTATATTTCTTTTAACTTGTGGTTTCTAAATCTTCTTTCCTTTTTATAATAAAATTCTTCATAGTTGCTATGCCTAGGAGTTTATCATTGCCTACTTTCGATATTTTAAAATTAATAATTTCAACTTGTGGTCTGTCAACATCTTGAAGTGCATAGCTTCCTTTACTTGCCTAAAAAAAATTTTAAGTATCTACTATCATATTTTATCAACCGTTTTTAATTCACTATACATTTGTTTAAGTTTTAGAATCAATATGAAATCATCTAAAGTATTAGCATTCTCAGCTTCAAAGCATCTAATTTAAAATGATTTTAGCAATTTGTTACAAGTAATATATTGCTGGATGAGAAAATCATCATAAGATAGAGGAATACCATTTTAAATTTATCTTCTCTGACTTGAGAATTGTTATTGTTTTTGGTTTTTAATGGCTCTTCACCTGTGCTCAGGTAATTATTAGTTAAAGAACATTTCTTAAATATCTATTCCTATCATTTTCAATTAGGTAAAAAATAATCTTGCGAATTCTTCCTTTTAGAAACACAATATGAATGATTAAAATCACTTTATCCAAAAAAAATGTAATATCCTCTGCAATCAAGCTTTATCTAGATTGCTTTATTAATTGAATATTTTCTCAATCATCGTAGCCTGAAATTGCCTCAAATATTCACACCTTAATTAAAGATAAATATTAATTATTCTATCCATGTCTATTGTTTCTATTCAGTGGTTATTTTAAAACCAGCATGATAAATTAATACAGAAATTTTTTTTTTGCGCAGAAGAGGAATAACGAAAATTGTGTGAGTCTTTTTAAACTCCGACCCTAATTCAAAAATTCATTGTTAACAATACAAACTTCTCTCATCAGGAAATTCGCAACTAATCTTTCCTTTTCATCATTCACTAACGAAATTAGCCTTATATCTATTATTGTACATCTACTAACCAATGAATAAATTTATTATTAGATTAAATGCATTTCTTTTTTGAGTGTAGCCATTGGAGAATTTGGCACAAAAATTTACTTCAAATTTTAGAGTCGATTTATTTTAAGTTTCAATTAATAATTTACTCTAATATAATAATTAATGTCAACATAAATATTTATAAGAAAGCTTTTGATTATGTATTTTGCTGTTGAATCTCATAAAGTATAGATATATTAATTGAGTCAAAAAATTGTTTAATAATGCTATATATTTTGAAGCTAAACGCAACCTTCCTAAGGAAATATTATACTCAATTTTGCTAATTACTTTCAGATTTAATAGATGTTCAAAATCATTAAAAAGCTGATCACTTAAAATTTGAAATCTTTCTGGAAATATTTGTCTGTGAATATATAAATATTTAGATAGATATTTATCTCTCATCTTATAGAAATTAATAAAAAATTCATCATTTGAAAAATATCTAGATTTTATTAAATTCAATACATATGAATGATGTGTAATTTATGACTATTATCAATTATATGATGCAGCTTATTTAATGCTTTGCTATCGTTTAGGGAAAGTTGGATATTATTGTAAGAATTAATTACAAATAAATAAAGTTAAAATAAAATATGAGACAATCAAATTAAGATAGTAGATGGTATTTTGATAAAGTTATTCATGAAAAAATAAAATAAGGGGATGAATAGGAAGAACAAGGAATGTATCAAGAAGCCATTAAATTTTACTCAATGGCCATTTAGATAAATCCATAAGATGCTGATGTATGTCATAATAGAGGTAAAATATTATTATGTTATAAATAAGGACATAATTACGTTGATTTGAAAAATTATAGTGAAACCATTAGAGACAACTATATGGCTATTTAAATTAATCTTGGATATGCTGAAGCATTTTATAGAAGAGGTAAAATATAAATATTTTATGATTAGGTGCTGTTTATTATAAATTGAAAAATTATAGTTAAGCCATAAAAGTCTACTCTATGGCTATTTAGATTAATCCATAATATGCTGAAGCATTTAATAATAGAGGTAAAATATTTATATTTTCTAAATAGGTGCTGCTTATAATTAATTGAAAAATTATAGTGAAACAATTAAAGACTACTCTAGAGCTATTTAAATTAATCCATAATATGCTGATGCATATAATAATAGATGTAAAATATTAATTTCTTAAAAATAGGTGTTATTTATTATTGAAGAAACGAAAATTCTTTGAATCAACTTATTCAAATCTAAAGAGATTTACTGCATTAAAAATTGCTTTAATAATGATATTTATCTATATAATTTATTATACTCAAGAATGGCCTGGAAAATGTTACTATAATAAATCTCTAGTTTATGGAAATTATTAAAGAATGAATTTTAATTAGTTAACTTTGTTTCAATGATTTTTCTTGATTTTTTGGCCAAGTATCACATAACTATTTTTTTTAAATTTCAAATTACTTTCTTTATATAAATATATAATACCTTCTCATACGTTTTTATATCTCCATCTAACCAATATATTTTTAATTGTTCTTCCAATTTAGTTACTTTTTGAATATCAGTAATTGCATTTTTAACAGTAGTTTTTTCGATTAATATTTTATATATCTAAGCATCATTATAAAGAGGAGTTTAAAAATGATGAACATTGAAGTTTTTTAAATTCTTTAAATATATATTTTAATAACTAATAAATATCTAATTATATTGAATACTTCATATCAATTTATTTAGTTTTTATGATTTGTCTTAATTCCTTATGATAAGTGTAAACCCAATAATCTTTAAAAAGCAATTCAACTAATGGATATCCGTCTGTATCAATTCTAAGATTTGCTTTGATCAATGTATCAATAGTTTGTTTGCTTTCCTTTCTTTTTGTCTTCATTTATAAATTATTTCTTATCCATCCATTCATAAACATATTACATAAGTATTTTAATATCTCCTTCATATGATTTAGTTTTAGAATTTAAATCAATTACTTTAAACTCTCCAGTATTTTATAAACATGAAATATGATTTTACGGACTTAATACAATCTGACTTAAAAAGGGAAATATAAACGGTGCTTCTTATCTCATTCCTTTATGATTCTCAATGTAAAGTAATGCCTAATCAGTATAAATAACAATTAGATCATCATTATATTAGATAGTCTTTACTTAACCTTTTACATAATCAATTTATTTAGGTGAATTATTTTCAATGCATCTAATCAATGTTCCATAGACAGCTCGATTGAATATTCTTTATTATTATTTTTGAACTTTTAGTAATAGAGTTTTTGTATTCACCTAAAAAGAATGACTCTTAGGCAATACTTCATATTATTAAATAATTAATAGTGGTTATTATGATTCAACTTTTTAACAACTGGCTCAGAAGAATTAACATCCAAAGAAATTGATTTTTTTTTTCCATCAACAATAATTTATTTAAATTATGTTTAAGTTTGTTTAGGAATTTCAGGTATTTAAATTTTAATTCATCTTAAATATTCACAGATTCAATTTACATATCAGCAAATTTTAGATTCTCATTAGGTTTTGTTTAATAATATCTTATCTATTTAAGAGTATTTTTAAAATCACCATAAAGACCAAACTTATTATTTTTCAATTTCTGTTAAAGATTAACCTAAGCTCATCTAAAAATCTTTAATAATAAATATTTTTTAGAAGTAGTAGCAATTAAAACTCTTCCTGAAGGATTCCATGTTAAATCTTTTATTAATTCTCCCATATTTGCATGTCCTTTTATTAATAGGAATGTTAATTCGTTCACTCAATTTTCATGTATTTACCATAGACTTATATTACCATCATTATCTCCAATAGCAAAAACACTACAATATTAGTCATTAGAATTGGGAGTTTTATATAACATTGGTGAAAATTTAACAACATTAATTGATGAAAATGGACCCATTATAGTTCTAACAACTTAAAAATTTGAATTACGATCTAATATAGCTACAGTTGTAATTGTCTTAATATTAAATTTTATACTTTATCATCTAAATTTCGTATGGCTAAATATCTACAATCTACACTCCAATCTAATTTTCTATCTTCTCTTTTTGTTGTACATAGTTTTCCTTAAATTTGGAGTGAAATAGTTATTTCTTATTTCCAATTATCAATTTTGTAAAAATTGACCTTATATATAATATGTTTGAATACTGTGTTGTCGAATTTTAAAGAAACTACATAATTATCAAAAGGATCACAATAAGTGTCAATTGTTTTCTAACCACAATCTATTTTATATTGAATCCCATCTTATTTTATATGATAAATAAGGATATTTCCATCTAATGAAGTTGTGGCTAATCTTTATTCATCTGGAGACCAACATAGTTCTGTTATTTTCAATTTATGTCCTGAATAGGTACGATCAATAGATAAATTGCCTCCATTGAATTACCAAATAATTAATTTATCATAATATGTTTAAATTATGAATCC